CACGCAGAAACCGTCCTTGTGTAGATTATCGTTCTCTTAATTCATGACTATGGAGATAGTTTTCCTATTCCGTTATTAGGTGACTTTTTACTCGTGTTTCAGGTTGTATTTGTAAAAAGCTGTGAGTCTTGTCAACTTTCTAAGCAATCTACACATGCGCCTCAAGGACAGCTTATTCCGTCATCGATTCCTGATAGACCATGGAGTGTCATAGGTATTGATTTTATTGTCAAATTACCGATTTCATCTGGATGTGACTCTATTCTCGTAATCACTGATTACTTTTCTAAAGGCGCGCATTTCATTCCTTGTAAGGAGTCCATGAGTGCACCTCAATTAGCATCTCTTTTTATCTCTCAATTTTTTCGTTATCACGGATATCCAGACAAAATCATTTCGGACCGTGGTGCTACTTTTGTGTCTGCTTTTTGGACTGCAGTACAGAAACAACTTCCTATTTCGCCCGCACCATCAACGGCTTTTCATCCGCAGACCAATGGTCAGACGGAAAAGACGAATCAGACCTTAGAGGCTTATCTTTGACACTTCATCAGTTATAGACAAGATGATTGGGTTGACATTTTACCCATGGCGGAATTTTGCTTTAATAATTCCGTTTCTTCTTCTACAAAATTAACTCCTTTTTTTTTATGGCAAGGGTTTCATCCTAGAGCGAACAGTTCTACAGAGTTTTCTCGGGTTCCTCATGCTGATAAATTTATAGAACAGCTTGAGGCAACACAATTGAATTTGCTGATTTTGTTAAAGCATGCTAAACAGGCTCAGGCGGAGGCTTACAATAAACATTGTCGCATCAGTCCGGTATATTCTCCAGGAGAGCTTGTATGGTTATCTCGTCAGAACATCACTACGACAAGACCTTCTTCCAAGTTGGATTACCGGAGGATTGGACCTTTTCCAGTAGTGGAGATGGTCGGAGCAAATGCTGTTCGATTATATCTGGGGCGGTACTTATTCTCGCTTACATCCTGTGTTCAATGTGTCTCTCATCTCTCCTTTTGTTCCTCCTTCAGTATGTGGACGAAATACAACCGATAAATCAATTCCACTTTACTCAGACTTCAAAACCTCATGATTGGCGACATGTTTCGGCAATTTTAGATTATAGAAGAAAGGGAAAGCTCAACCTGAATATGTAATACGATTGTTAGGAAGATCAGTCTCGGATGATACTTGGGTAGCTCTTTCAGATATATCTTCGGATTTAGACCTTTTCATATTCAATTTTCATGCAAAATATCCTCAGTTTCCGGTTCCAAATTCTTTGTTAGATTCCAGGTGTTCTATGGGGTATCAGGCAGTGTTGGGAGAATTATAAGGTAGACAGTGATTATTATTGTAATGATTTGTAATGTTAAAGAAAGGAATAACAAATAAATATCAAATACTACGAAATTGTGTTATGTTAGAAGATAGTAGAAGATGGTTGTTAGGATAGAAAGTTGAAGTAAAAGAATAAGATAGATGTTATATGTTATATTGTGTATATATATGTTTTATGTGATTATTGTTTTAGTTTTCTCTTCATCGAATTATTAACGTAGTTTTCTTAACTCTTAAAAATCTATATGTGCCTTAAAGTTGAGCAATGCTCAACCAGACCCTAGACAAGAGCCCTTACACTGTGGTGGTAACAGGATTACGATCAACTCCAGTGGCTCCCTTTGGGCGTCCCAGTTTCTTTGTGGAAAGGAGTTTAGTTGTGGTATCAGGTGGCCGGCCATCATTTGGTTCGTGTCGTTTTTTTCGATTTTTTGACCATCCAAAGGCCTGTGACACCTTTTTGTAGTTTTTAGAGAGACCACCATATTCAACTGAAATTCCAGCCATCAAGTCCGTGTAATTCCGTTCAAGACACTTCACCAGTGCAAACAATTGGACTAAGCCAACTTGAATGGTACAATTCCCTTCACTTTGAATTCCAAAAGTTTAAATTAAATAAAAGAAAGAATGAGTTAAAAGGAAACTTTAAACTTTCAAGAAAAGCAGAAGAACTTGCCATATCATATATCACACTTGATGCATAGACTCTTGAGCATTAGTTGTGGCAGGAAGACCATCATTGTCATCATTCAATCCATAATCATCAATTTTAGTTTTTCGTCCAGGAAAAAGCATAGCTTCTATGTCTGCAGATTGCCACCACTGTATCCACCCTTTAGCAAGTGGAAAATCCTTCACAAGATTATCCATTTTTCGCTCATGTGTTAGACCACCCGCTTTTTTGGCTTGAAGCAAAGATAAGGCTTGTGTGGTGAATGACTCCTACAAAGCAAAAAATCAGTATTGAATCTTTAAAGACGAAAGGTTTCAAGATATCTCTACACACCCGATCCCCTAATTTTATGATGGGATGATTCCGTTTTATACGTGTAATTGAGGCACAAAAATGTTCTTCACATCCTGAAAGCCTTGAAAGTGCATGATTGTAATCCTTTTCAAAGATAGACATATAATCTGCAATGAAGCCATTCTTCTGTGCGCTTGAAAAATCTACAACTTGACGCACTACAATATCACATTCAGCCGGAGTCATAGAAGCACCTTTGATCTGTTTCAATAATGTTTCAAAATGAGACTGATAATGGGCAGTTGTAAGGCCTCCAATCCAAGTGCGTTGAGTAGGAGTCCAGCGTTTGAGGACCTCACTATACATTGAAGTGGAAAGGAGGTATCCGGTTGCAAAAAACTTATAGGTGACATCAGAAAGCAGTCCACCTCTATAAACACCATCATTTTCATCCCTCATTAACAACTGATCTGCCATCTACTGTGTTTGAAAAGTGAGATGGGCATCTTCCATGAATGAGCTAGAAATCATTTTCAAACCACGTCTAAAATTATAATAAGCATCACAAGTAAGCTTAAGTGTTTCTAATTTTATTTCAAGCAGCTACTTACTTTAACCACTCGCCCATATCTGTGACAACTTCATCTGATTTCCCAGTATCCTTTTTGTCTGGAATCATCCCTGCTTGAGATAAAAACACTCTACGGTAGTAAGCCACTTGGTCTCAATGTCCAAATGCCCGATGAATCGATGCCACTGTCTCAATAGGTTGCCGTCCTGCTGGAGCTCGCCCAACCTGTGAATGCAGTCAATTCACATCAACAACTGCCTCAAAAACAACATAATACAAATACACCAATTTTACAACTCACGCTGTGCTCTATGGGACGCGTCGCTAGGTTGCTTATAATCTTCTCAGCAAGTTTTGATTTTGAAAGCTTGTCTGCTATTGATTTTCTAGTCCAAGGATGACCATGGACACCCGTATGTCTCATAATCCCCCATCCACTGACGTGGTTATCAACACGACAGGTGGTATTAATGCACCTTTGAGAATGTCTTGGAATCCCTGGTCAAATGATCTGAAAGCGTGCGCTTCAGCACTGAAATCACAACCACCGACAAAGACTTATAAAAGTAACTCTGACCTGAAAGCGTGCGCTTCAGCACTGATATCACAACCACCGACAAAGACTTATAAAAGTAACTCTGACCTGAAAGCGTGCGCTTCAGCACTGAGATCACAACCACCGACAAAGACTTATAAAAGTAACTCTGACCTATACAAAGGTTCAGATTGATTAGTTAAGCTATCACTATTTGATAGCTGATCTTGGAGTAGATTAAGAGATAAGATTTCTCTTCCCAAAGATGATAATTGTATTCACCTGAAAGTGTGCGCTTCAGCACTGAGATCACAACCACCAACAAAGACTCATAAAAGTAACTCTGACCTATAATCACAACAACAAGATTAGAGATGAAGAACTGAGAATAAGTGAAACTGAGAATAGACAATTTAGTACCTATACAAAGGTTCAGATTGATTAGTTAAGCTATCACTATTTGATAGCTGATCTTGGAGTAGATTAAGAGATAAGATCTATTGAGTAAAAGAGAAAGTAACGTGAATCGAAATAAAACAACAGGTTAACTTAATTGAAGAGATAATGAAAGATGAAATATGACTTACTTCTCTTCCCAAAGATGGGGAAAAGAGAAGTAAGATAAGTTGGGCAACGAAAGTTATAAGTACTCCGATGATTTGATTACATTGGGGTGATTACTGATGTCATTCTTTGATTTCACTGATGACGACATTTCTAGTGTGTTACTTAACGCTACATTTGTAATTCCTCTCTTGATTAATTTTAATGTACTTGTTCAGGTCGATTGAACACTTCAAGAACCTTTGATAATATAGATTGCCCGGGCATCTTGGTACCTTGCACATGTTTATCCTAGTGAGATGATTGATAACAGATGAATAAGTTCAAAATTCAATCTTGACATGATAGAGTGGGTACTTACACGGTCTCCCATTCATCCATCTTCCGTCGACCAGTCAAAGGTGAGTCAAGGACATCACACTCCAGGTTTTCACAACGAATTACACCAAGGTAGTTGATGCAAAAAGTATTCCAATCACCCTCATCACTGCCACGAGCACCTGACTTGCTATAGCTATAACCCACTATTCCCCAGTTAGTGACTTTTTGCTTCGGCATCTTGACATATACAGTCCCTCGGTCTGGGAACAGCGGATATCCCTCAGGATCAAGAGTGGTACCATGATCAATAAAGGTTTCAAATGATGCTTGATCAACTGGTAACCTAAAGTTCTTTTTACCGGCCTTTGATTTGCCTTCATCTTCTTTTTTGACTTCATCTTCTTTTTTGGTTCATCTTCCTTCAAATTGACCGCATCTTCATTGAAGTCGAGTGTATTTTCATTGATAGCTGTCTTGATGATCTCTTCAGTTTCTTCTTTGTTATAATAATCAAATAGGATATTCGGATCCATCATCAAAGGAGAAAAGGTTGAAATCGTGATGTTCAAAGTCAAAACAAAATCAAATGTCTCCCATGATTTATTTGTGCTGGACCCCTGCATACAAAAAATCATTCTGTGCGTACAGGCCATCCCAATTGGGAATAGCATCATTTAGAGGTGTAACTCAGGCCGCAAAATTCCACAGTCCACGCCGAAAGTTGCTTTTTGCGGCCTTTGTTTTACACACCTTCAAGGCCGTAAAATTCATGATTCTAACCCCTCTACATACAAATTTGCGCTCGATCTCTTGCGCTTCATATTTTTACGCATCTCAAAAGTAAAAAAAAACAGCGTAAAATTCCACAATCGGTAGGAATTGTGTAATTTTAAACCCCTCGCATTTTATGCTCCTTATCCGGCGTAAACCGTGGAGCGCAAAATTCACCCACCCCCTTCTAAACCTGGGCCTGAAGGGGTATTTTCCCTCAGAAGTCAACCATGAACATCAAGCATGGGAATTTAGATCATGGTGTTTATCAGAGTTCATTTGTTCGATATAGAAAGAGATACAATGAGGATAATCTTGAACTTATTATGGCTACTTCACCATCACCGGTAACCTAAGAGGTAACCACAAGCTGAACATCTTATGGACGGATTGGGATATAAATGAAACATGGAGTTTGAAGAGAGAGTTGTCCGGATTGGGAAAGGGAGAGATGAAGTTTTTCTACCTATATGTACTTTTTGTCTGTTCACAATTATTGTTCCCTTTTTCTTCATCTGAACATTTTATTCTCTCTACTCTCAAGTTCATTTCCTCACGTCCCATTTCCATTGCCCGTTCGGAATAGGTTAGCCATTAGATAGTCTTATTATTTCTATATCCCACCTTTTTATTAATCTTTGTTCTTCTCAGGTTTGAGTGTTTCCATCTACCACTCTCACTAAAAGTCCTGAGCGAAGTTCTCATATAACTTCTTCTAAAGGTGTGTATCACGAAATAAATAATCTGAACATTTTATTCTCTCTACTCTCAAGTTCATTTCCTCACGTCCCATTTCCATTGCCCGTTTGTAATAGGTTTGAGTGTTTCCATCTACCACTCTCACTAAAAGTCCTGAGCGAAGTTCTTATATAACTTCTTCTAAAGGTTCAAGTGTTTCCATCTACCACTCTCACTAAAAGTCCTGAGCGAAGTTCTCATATAACTTCTTCTAAAGTTTGATACATTATCAGTACCAGTTTACCATAAGGCTAAACGATATGTCGCTCGACTACGATGCTGGAACCACATCATCATCATCTCGCATGCTTTCGACCACGAAGAATTATCTTACGTGGGTGACTATGATCGAGTGTAAACTCAATCGTTTGGGATTGCTCGAGATCGCACTTGGAACGGAACCTGTATCTAGGACTCCTGGTGTCAAACCTACCGATCTGATGAAGGAATCTCATCGAATCAAGAGCAAGAGGGCGTATAACGTCATTATTGATTACCTAAACGAAGACAACTTGGCTCTCGTCAGCAGTAACGAGGAAGTCGGAAAGGCTAGAAATGCCTTCATGCTTTGGACTCTACTTCGTGAAAAGTACATTGGAGAAAACATGCTTAACAGAACGACTCTTTTCACCAAGTTCGCCAACATTGTATTTACCGATGTCGAAACCTTTGTTAAAGAAGTTAGATCATGTGCTAATGAGTTAAGAAGGTCTGGATTCAAGATGGGTGAAGAGATGAAGGTAATCATGGCTCTGTCAAAACTTCCATCTGAATACGAATTGTTTGTCAGGGTTATGACCCATGGATTTCCGGATCAGAACCTCGATTTCATGCTACATCGACTGGAGCAAGACCAACTTCAGAGCGCGACTAGCGGTATCGAAGCAAACCGCGCCACCGCACATCATGCCAATTCGAGTTCGGCAAAACCTGCTGGAAGCTCCGTATCTTGTACTCATTGCAAGAAAGTTGGGCATGTAGAAGATAAGTGCTGGAAGAAATACAAACACTTAGCTCCTAATCGAAACCAAAGTCGATTCACTCAAGCTCCAACCGAAGAACCTGAAGTTCCAACCACTGCGAACTACGCAGGCGTGGACGACTCTATTCCTGGGTCAGTCCCATTTAATCAAATATCGAGTTTTGTCTGTTCAACTAGTTCTGAAACAAGCCTACTCGACTCAGGTGCTTCTGATCCGATGTTCAAGTCTAGAGAATCATTTCAAAGCTACAATCCCTGTAATGTAGAGATTAGTATAGGAGAGGAAGGAAGGATAATTAAAGCTATTGGAAAAGGAACAGTAACCATTAAATCAAAATATGGTCAATACAACATCAACAATGCTTTCCATGTACCTTCTCTTCCCCATAATCTTTTCTCTCTTACTCCTTTCTGGAGGAAAGGTGTTCAACTCGTCTATTGTAGTAGCAATTCGTTTGTGCTAAAAAAGAATGATTCCATTATACTCGATGGAAATATTATCAATCATCATTCATATTAAAGGCGAACATGCAATTCAGACAAAACCTGACAAAATATGCAATTAGCCCCATTTTTGGGTTTCACACATGTGGCAGAAACCATTTTGTGACAATCAACATTCAATCTGTGCTTCATTTTGCAATTCCAATCATCTACCCACCACTATCTCCACCACCATGGTCCACCTCATTCTATACATCCAAGCCTAGCCCACCCTGTCGATACACCCCATCTTGCTCTTTACGCTCCTGAGTTGTCAGATTCATCCCCTTGTCTGTGAATTTCATGCAGATCCCAGCTTACAATCAACCGTAAGGACCATTGGTGTGCCGTATTCCAGCAATTCAAGCTTTCATCTATGTATACTGATCATATTTTCTTTTAGCACATTGACCCTCTTGATCCTGTATTCAATCAAACCTCTGACGGACGGTAAACAACAGTGTGAGCTCAAAACATTTCAACTATGACTGATCTCAATCATTGCCAGTCTGACCATAAAGCTTTGTGATTTTGATTCCCATCCGATCAAACTTCAGAATTAAACAATGGCTGAATCTCAACAGATCTCAACATATGAATTTACCACCTTTTGATTCAAGTTGCATTCATCATTCTGGTTTTGCTAGCTTACAACCTTTAGAAGTTTAGTCATCATCCAACCACCGCTTTTCATTCTGCTGAAACACTGATTTCATCCTATCTCCTTCATTCAGATTTTCATTGACAAACTCAAGCAGATGATGTCGCTTCCAGGTTTACATCAATTTATCACACAACAGCTATTTCTTTGGCTCTTGGTCCGCAACAATCACACATCAAATCATTTCTTTTCATTCATGAAGATCTAGATGTCAAAGAGTCAAGTCCAATTGTACTCGTCTCTTTTAAACGCACTATGACTAACCTGAATTTCATCACATCACTTTTTCAATTTTTAGTGAAGTATAGGAACATGATCAGATCAGAATATAGAAAACGATAGATGAAGCTTTGTCCAGACATATCAATCTTTGATCTCTTCTAAATCATTCACGAACTGCTATCACCCCAGCAGACTTTCATCAATTCAAAACATCACACTTGAGATTTCAGTTCGACTCAAAAGATTAAAATCAGATCTTCAACTATTACTTCAATCATTTATTGCAAAATCAATGTCAAGTTATACAAGTTAAGCAAGGGGGAAATAAACTTGCTTAACAAAATGGACAACATTGAGTCGATTCACCAAGATCATCACTGCCTTCACAGCCGAGAGGTATTAGAAACAAATTCCAAAGTGTGCTTTGAAAGCTAACAACAGTAAGTCATTCACACTTTCTCTACTGATTATTCACCCGTCTTGGATTGTGACGTTTTTTTTGGAACGATCACTTCGCACAGCATAGATCACCAACCGCGAGATGGTCACTTTAAACATTGATATTGTTTGAACATACTGGGTAATGGGAAATGTGATGTAAGTTTCCCAGGCAATCAGGAAGATTGCTAATTCAATCTAACTTGACTTTAAGAACAATCAATGGAACTCAAACTTACAGCCTCTCATTTGGTCAATCATCCACAAACCAAGTGCATCAAGAGCTAGCAGACAATTAAAGATAAGAAAATCTTTGATCACCCTCAGGTTTACTCAATCTAATTTTGTAAGATACAAACAGTCATAAAGCGTGCTATGATCAATTGTCTTGTGTATCTTTTTCCAGCTATCAAATTGAGTTTATTTCAATCAAAGTATTGTCTCATCGCACTTTGAAACTTGGATGATATAAAATAACCTTATCAATCACAACATTGGTTTTTGGTCAACTTGGAAATCGAAGTCGAGTCGATTTGAATTCAGAAAAATGATCTAATGATCTAATCTGAGACCTAGGCTCTATTAAATGAAGCTGATTGAAATGAACCAAAGATTTCAAAAATTCTATACATCCTTTTCTATTGTTATATACTTTCCTGCTTGATTTGCTCTATAGATCTGAATCAATGCAAAGCTACAAATCACCTCTGATGATGATCAATTAAATCTTAATACATCAATTCCTTTTCCATCTTTGAATCTTTTGCAAATAATTCCATTAGAGCTCAATAGATCCTTCAATTTTTACAAATTCTCAGCTGTAATTCTAGGATGTTAAGATGACCCAGTCAGTTTTCTGAGAGATCTACTCTTCATCTGTTCTTGATTGACTTTGTCTTCAAACTTCTCTCCAAACAGAATTTCTGTTACAAGATCCCAACAAGAATAAGCAAGACTGAAAGTTGTGATCTAGGTACTGATAGGTTTAGAGGCATTCTGTGTTTAACTTACACTGGTGATGCTTCAATGCCTCTTCAAACTCAAATTCAGGTTTTATATATTTTTCTATCATCAAATTTCCAATTTTGAATCTAAATCAACAAAACTAATCTTCAACTTTTTTGGTTTGTGTATGTCCTAGGCAAATTTATTTGAGCAATTGGGGTGTTGGTAAGGCCTGGACCCGGTCTGGCCTGGCCTTTAAAATCCAAGCCAACTCAGGCTCTTGTTTTTAACGGCCGACCCAGACCGGCCCAAGGGAGGAAAATTTATGTGCCGCACACCAAAAATAACAAAAATAACATAAAATAAATAAAATAGATGATGTCAGGTGCTTTATATTGGTCCTTTAAAGCCCTATTTTTCGCTTTTTGGATCCCATGGCCACTTTTCTGAGCCTCTCAGACCCACTTTCATCGCTACAATCACTCAAAACCCTTACTTTCAGCCCTTTTGGCTGGCCAGAGAGCACACCACCCTTGGGCCCAAGGGCGAATTTCCAAGGCCAAAAAAGGCCGGACCCAAGCCCAGCTCAGGATTGCCCACTGGTCCTGGTGCCGGGTCCAAGCCTTAGGTGTTGGTGATTTCAAGATCAGAAGGTGTCACATAGGTATTTAAAAACAATCTGTTAGAGAGTGTACAAGTTTCATTGACATTTGGTTTGGTTTTAGATATTCAATCTTTTGTTCAATCTGAAATCAAACATCAATTACAAGAATTTTTTAGGACTGAATGACCTGGGATCATCCATCATCTTGAAATCTCAATCTAATCTTTCATCTATCAGTTCATCTAAACCAGTCAATCCCAACCCTTCAACAAACATCCATTCACCTTCTCCTCTTTTATCTTTAAGACCTTCATCTGTGGTGGAACCTAGAAGTCAAGATCAATCTCCATCACCTGATTTGGCACCTGATTGTGTTGAATCTTATGATCCAACTTATGGACTTAGATCATCACGTCCGCCTCTGGTTGGAAACTTGACTTGATATTGTTCTTTCTTGAACTCAAGGTTTAAGTGAAGTTTTAGATTCACTAGATGATAATACTAAAGCTGAAAGTATCATGCCAACCTCTCCATGTGATGCTTTATCACCACCACCACCTTACTCTTTACTACAACTATCAACTTCTCAGATCAAGAAGCTCAAGTCCACCAAATATTGGAAAGAAATAATCATTTTTTACAAGTTTCCATTTGACCATCTCATCATTTTGGGAGGTTAGTTATCTTTACATCTCTTTCAAAGTTTTTTGCGACAGATACTTCACTTTGAACTTCATTGTATCTTTCTTTCACATGCTTTTTATTGATTGTAGGAGGTGGTGTTGATAAGAGTGCATTAACTGTTCAATTTTCACATGATATGTTTGGTGAATGACTTTATTCTGTCACATTCAACTTCTACAAAACCTTTATCTGTACACTTACCATATCATCTCTTTCAGTCAAACAATACAATCCAACAGTTGGTCATCATCTTCTTTGGTCAAGTCATGAACTCTAGATCTCTTATGTGAAGTAAGCATCCAAGCAACCATTTTCTGTAGATATAAATTGCAATTTTCTTTTGTCAAATGATAAGGAAAGTTTAACAATGCAAGTCTCTAAACTTCATTGCATTTATCTCTTCTAAAATCAATGATCCAATTTGATTTTTACCTTACTTTGAAATTCGATATCATGAGAATCCAGCCACCAGTTTATCAAAAGTTGAATGTCAATTTATAATCAAGAAATCTACTGGAATATTGAAGATGGATGATACAGAATATAGTCAAGAATGAGATTTCTCATATGGAAAGAATCTGAGCAAAAAAATCCATGCAACCGTTTTTGATATGGATCAAAAATGCAAAGAAAAATCATATGAGGATATACCTCTTATGTTTTTATTACTTTGTAAGATAGATGCAGATGGATGCAATGGAAATGTGTTGTATTTTGATTAAAGATAAATGAAATACAAATGAAGCATAGGTATATCAGTGATCACAGAAAAACTTTTGGAAAACCTTGTGGCAGGAATGGGTAATTGGTGGCAAATTGAAGAACCAAGGAGTATCACAAAAGCTCTCAGTCAAGAGAAAAAGACCACACAGTGAATTTTCCCCAATCAGAAGGTAAAAATATTGAGCATGTTGGATTGTTCTTCTTGTTGAAGTTACAACATACTTTCAAATGCTCATGACTTGCTTCCACATCATCATTTCAAGATGAAAGATATTGTTTGATGCATTTCAGTGCTATGGACAATACTCCAGGAGCTCCAAATCTAAACCTCTAAATGATTTTTGAGTGGGCCTGCTTGATGTGCTCAGCGACAACTGACATTGAAAACATCAACAGATAAGTACTTCATATGGATCTTTGTGAACAAGAACTCAATCAAGCTTCAAGCCTTGTGATTCAAACAACTTGAGCAATGCAATATTGACACAATCATCAAAACCTCTTTACTAAAAGCCAAAATCTCCAAAATATGAATGATGAAAAGTTATCAAGCATTGAACTTCAAAAGTTTTATAATTCAGCTCCATTTTGCATTCCAAAAAATTCAGTAATCTCAACTCAATTTTCAATTGATAGTCATTCATCTTCAACTGGACCTCACTTTCAAGTTGGCTTTTCTTTTGTCTTTTTTCTATAAAGCTTTCATACTCACTTCAAATATTTATTCATTCTTTATAGGGTCTTGAACTGATGTAACCTAGGTTTCATTTGATTGCATTTGTGCCAAGACCTAGAAAAACCAATGGATCATCATCTCAAGCTATCAACAGAAGCTATCAAACGGCTCAAGAAATCAAATATTCCATTTTTCTAAAATCGAATCATATGACAAATTACAAGAAAGAATTCAACAATCTACAGAGCAAGAACCTGGAGTAACCAGGCCAATAAATCATATGGAATCAATAGGCTTTGGACTTGGTCCTCATGATGCAATCAAATGTTATCCAATGTGGAAATCAAAAAAAAAATCCAGCCTAATTTATTCAAAGAAATCTTTGGATTTGATTCGAGAAATGACATAATTCTTGTTAGTATGCTGTGTGATGAAGAAGCAGAAGAAATAAAGTTGTCATCTCATACACACCACATTAGTGATTCATGTATAATCCACAATATCACAATCCACATTCAAGTATGACTAATGGACCCAAATTATTTAAATTGAATGAGCAACTCACATATTGGCCCAATATTGTTCTTAGAAGCTCTTGACCATAATATTCAATGGAGAATATTTGAATAAAATGAGTCAAGATAAAAGTGGGTTATTTGATCAATTTATCATCATATCAAGAGGGTATATTTCTCATATACTACTCCCTTCCTTCCATCTTTGTGTTGATCTCTTCTTTTGTTTCTTGGAAGTCTTGAATGCGCTTATAGGTTGACTGCAATTATTGTCCTTAACATTCATACAAGTACATTTATTTGATTATCATTGTTATTCAAGCCTCGTCTTTTTGAAGCTTTGAGTTCAATAGGTCATGTTTTACTTTTGATCCTGGACTTCTTATTGGATTGAATCAAATGATACACAATATTGTTTTCAATGGTGGCCTTCAGTAGAAAAAACCCTGCCCATCTAAACATGATGTGTATTACTACATATATCTGAATTATAAATATCCTTCAATTATATCTCTTGCGCCTTTTGCCTTCTACATTGATCTTTGTTTGCTTTCATCAAACTTGGTGCAATCAGTTTCTTCTGACTAATTCACATGGGTCATTGATACCCTGATAAGAACTGAAAGTCCAACTGGTTCAAGTGAGATATGTAGTGACATTAGAAGAATGAGAGCTGATGCTAAAGTATTGCAATACTGAGAAAACCATTGCAAGATAGCTATGAAACACAAAATGACTATCAGTTTGCATCATTGATTGGAAATTTGTAATTGTTGCACACCAGGACAAAGAACAAAGATGAAAACCTTAAATATCTGATGAGACTGAGGAAGAAGGTTAGACTGTTAGTGTTAGGCTTAGGCTTAGGCTTAGGGGTTAGGGTTAGGACAGGATATACCATAGTTTACACAATGTTCACCGTGCAGTCATTCAGTGCTTGTCAAAGCTCAGGTGTGCCTGGGAGCGCCCCAAATCCTCAAAATATCTACAGAAACACCCCACAGCCATTCTTTAGGTTGTGGCAAAAAAATTCAGTGCGGCGCCCGCCGCCCAATTGTGCTAGTAGACTTTTAATCTTGAATATTGAAATTATCAAATCTCATCAGTCAAACAATGCACTTCATACATCAGCCATTTGGCATAAAAGATTAGGACATCCATGTGAGAAGAACCTCAAGAGAGCAGCTGAATGCACTGAAGGAATCAATTCAAAAATCACACCTTTACCTTTCTGTGAGCCATGTGCATTAGGAAAATCAACTAGAAATAGATTTCCAGGCACGATTCCAAAGCCCAATTCACCGTTAGACGTCATTCATTCAGATTTGAGTGGAAAAATCACCCCAGCATCTGTAGGAGGCGCACAATACTATGTCAAATCCATTGATGGATTCTCTTCATATCGTTGGATTTACTTACTTAAAAATAAGAGTGATTTCATTAAAACCTTCAAGCAATTTAAGTCTCTTGTTGAAAACCGATTTGGTAAGAAAATCAAAATCTTGGCCAGTGACGGTGGAGGTGAATACATAAATCATGAGATGGATAACTTATGTAAAGAATCTGGAATTATTCACCAAGTAACTGCTCCTCATACACCCCAGCAAAACCCAATCTCTGAACGAGGAAATCGAATCACTGTCGAAAAGGCAAGAACAATGATCGCTCAATCTTCCCTTCCTACATCATTCTGGGGAGAAGCAGTTATGACAGCAACTTATCTTGAAAATCGTACTCCGTCATCTGCCGCGTGTTTTAAAACCCCGTTTGAACTTATCAACAAGAAGATTCCTAATGTTAATCACATCAAAATTTTCGGTTGCGCTGCTTATAAACACATTCCATCAGCAAACCGCAATGGTAAATTTAATGCTAGAGCGGAAAAATGTATCCTTCTAGGTTTTACTGAAGGTACCAAGAACTATCGATTGATCCGGCTTTGTGACCGTAAATTAATTAATTCACATGATGTCATTTTTAATGAAGAAGAGTTCCCATCAATTGGAACAAGATCAAACCACACATCTGAAATAACCATGGATGATGAAACAGAGTATGAAAATGGTGACGAAGCTGATGAGCAAATTAATGATGACCATCAAGACGATCAACTTCCTGATGACTTACCAAATGAACCAGAAGACCCCATCAACAATAATCAACCTGATATTCCACCAAACGAAAATGAACCTGTGATTGATGAACAAGGTAATGATGGAAATCGACAAAATCCAATCAGAGTCCGAATTCACAACCCTGCTATGGCTGATGCTATCCGAGAAGAAAGTAACGCTCGAAACCAGCCCCAACGCAATGTTCGTAGATCAGATCACATACAAGGGATTCCTGCACCAAACATCTCAGTCATGATCGCTCAGGCATCTGCTCTCATAACCTCAATTGGTAACGAGATTGAATCATCCTTACCGTACACACCACTCGATAACATCATTGACCCTGAAAGCTATTCAAAGGCTAAACTTGCTTCGGACTGGTTGAAGTGGAAAGAGGCAGTATACGACGAATTTAACTCATTAATTCAGAACAACGTTTTTGAACCATGTCTAGCACTTCCAGGAGGTCGAAAGTTCATTGGTACTCGCCTATTACTAAATAAGAAACTAGATGGAAGATACAAGGCTAGATGTGTTGCTCAAGTTTTTTGTCAAAAGGAAGGTATTGATTATAATGAAACATTCTCACCAACCGGAAGAATCGCTACATTAAGAGCAGTAGGTGCCATCACAGCTTTAGAAGACCTGGAATTCCGACAAGCAGATTTTGTTACTGCGTTTCTCAACTCATCGCTCGCGAAGGGTGAAGAAGTGTATATCAGACCACCGGAAGGCTTTATTGAATGGTTACTATCGCTACCTAACAGCTCAGCAATATTCAAGCTTTTTAAAATCCTTATCAACAACCCGGAGGCATGCATAAAAGTTGTCCAGTCATTATACGGATTGAAGCAATCCGCGCAAAACTGGTACATGACGGTGTCTGAGTGGTTCACCTCGGATAAATTCCACATCAGCTCCGCCAATCCTTGTCTGTTTATCCACATCGATGAGAATAAACACCGATCTTATGTGTATGTATGGGTTGATGACATGGCTCTCGCTGGAAAGGACTTGGATTGGATCCTAGACGGTTTGAAGAAAGAATTTAAAATCCAAGACCTTGGGAATGTTGATCATCTATTAGGAATGAAAGTAACCAGAAACCGAGCTGAGCGTCAAATTTCCTTTTCTCAAGAACAATACATTGAAAGTCTGCTACAAGAAAATGGCATGGAGGATTGTAAACCTATTGGAACACCAATGCAATCAAATGAAACTCCACTGATGGCCACCGACAAGGATCGAGATGCTTTTATCGCTAGTGGCAACAACTATAGAGCCGCTGTAGGATCACTGAACTATCTCTCACAGTGTACAAGGCCAGATCTAGCTCATGTTGTCAGCGTACTATCTCAATTTCTTGAAAAGCCTGTAATGTCTCTTTGGAACTGCTTCAAGCGCGTGCTTCAATACCTACGGGGATCAAAACATCTATCTTTAGTGTATGGCAAATTGAACTCAATTTCAGACATGCCTTTCCTTCAAGCTAACTCAAAACCTCCTACACCGAGTACACCAATTGCCTTCTCTGACTCAAATTGGGCTGGATGCCCGCTTACAAGAAGGTCTATGTCAGGTTATGTTTTCTTACTGAATGGTGCTGCATTGACATGGAGGAGCAAAAAGCAACCTACCGTTGCACTATCGTCAACAGAAGCTGAGTATTGGGGATTTTTGGATGCAGGACAAGAAGGAGTGTGGATTAGGAGGTTAATGACGGATTTAGGATTTGAGAGTTTATGTTCAACAACATTGTATGGTGATAATCAAGGCTCAATAGCATTAGCAAAGAATACGGTTTTTCACGCAAGAACTAAGCATGTGGAGATTCATTTTCATTGGATTCGTGAGAAAGTCAAAGATGAAACATTTGATATAGTCTATTGTCCAACTGAGCATATGATAGCTGATATAATGACAAAATCACTGGATAGGTCTAAGTTTGTTACTTTTAGGGATAACCTTGGTCTATTGCCATCTTCAAAGCTTCCCGGTAATGGTGGCGAGGGGGGGTCTTGAACTTATTATGGCTACTTCACCATCACCGGTAACCTAAGAGGTAACCACAAGCTGAACGTCTTATGGACGGATTGGGATATAAATGAAACATGGAGTTTGAAGAGAGAGTTGTCCGGATTGGGAAAGGGAGAGATGAAGTTTTTCTACCTATATGTACTTTTTGTCTGTTCACAATTATTGTTCCCTTTTTCTTCATCTGAACATTTTATTCTCTCTACTCTCAAGTTCATTTCCTCACGTCCCATTTCCATTGCCCGTTCGGAATAGGTTAGCCATTAGATAGTCTTATTATTTCTATATCCCACCTTTTTATTAATCTTTGTTCTTCTCAGGTTCGAGTGTTTCCATCTACCACTCTCACTAAAAGTCCTGAGCAAAGTTCTCATATAACTTCTTCTAAAGGTGTGTATCACGAAATAAATAATCTGAACATTTTATTCTCTCTACTCTCAAGTTCATTTCCTCACGTCCCATTTCCATTGCCCGTTCGGAATAGGTTCGAGTGTTTCCATTTACCACTCTCACTAAAAGTCCTGAGCGAAGTTCTT